TTTTTTTTTTTTTTTTTGCAGGAAGGCATTATCATCAGAAGGCCTGGGACTTTTCACATGTCACAGAGACAACATGAGGGCAGCTTTCTTTCCTAACATTGGCAATGTGTTTATCTACACCTGTAATCCTTGCATTCAGGAGCCTAAGGCAAGGGCATCACCATAAATTCAAGGCCAGCTTGAACTACATAGCAAGACACTGTCGAAGGAAAGAAAGAAAAAGAAAGGAAGAAAGAAAAGGAAAAGGAGAAAGAGAAAAGAAACAAGATCTCCCCATGATGTGGTCACCTCCCCAACTCCCCAAGCTGGAGAATTATCCCATGATAGAAAGGACAAACCCCCCTCCAAGCAAGAACAACTATTTCATGGGAGACAAAGTACACCTAAAAAGGCTATATATTCAGGGATCATTTCTATAATTGGTTACTAGAGAAGTTTATCTGATTGTGTAGAGTACCACCAATTACGGATTGAAACCTCTGAAAACTGGGAGCTAAATAAACCTCTCCCCCTTAAAAAAGCAAAACCAAAACCAAAATAACAACAACAAAAAACTGCCCCTCAAGCCATAAGGATTCTTCCAAAACTACAAAACCAGGCCTCAGCTCACTATGGCACCTCTATTATTTCCCAATTTTAATTTTTTTAACCGTACCTGTTTCCAGCACATGATTCCATTCCATGTGCGGAATTTACACAGGTTCACGACACATCTTAACTCTTTCAACTCCTTCCCTCTCCTTCCCTTCATCACTTAATCCCCTTCTCATATGAGAAAGTTCTATCTCCCTACTTCTTATTATCTATCCTTTATTTTACTCTCTATTTATAGTTTGTATTTCTCATGTAACAGAAACCAAGTGATATTTAAGTTTCTGGGTCTGATTTATTTCACTTAACATTATGGTTTCAAGGCACAGCACCCTTTAAAACTAGTCCTTTTTCCTTGTTATTGGGCTAGGCTGATCTTCTTAGTCAGAGTTATATCCTCTCCAGTTCCTCAAGCTCCTATTTCTCTTACTTTCCAATTACAGTTTACCTGTAAATTTGTGTTGATTGCCTCCATTTTAATTTCCATTATCACTGAAGCAAGGACCTGTGCTTGCTGGTAACAATAAAACCTTGATCTTTGAAAACTCACAGGCTTACAGTCAGCAATCAGAGGTCCTCTATTCCAGAGCTTCTCTGACTTAAGGTGCATAGGAATCAACTGGACAATGCAGATCTTGATTTGTGGCACTGGGGCAAGGCCTGAGCTTCTCCCATACCACGGGCTCCAGACAATCCTGCCAGTTCAATCCAAGGGCTTTACTTTGAAAGAAAAGGGACTAATTTCACCCCTTCACTTTTTAGAGGAGAAGCTGGGGCTCAGAGAAGTAGTCTTCCTGGTACTCCCAGAGTCCCTGATTCTATCTCAGGCCTTTTCCCTGCTGCACTGATGTTTTATGGAGTCTAACCATGGCCCCGCACAGAGCTACCTGCATGGTGGTGGACAATAGTGAGTTGGCAGCTTAGATGGTACCAAGGGCACAGTAGGACACAGCCTGGAGGAATGAAGAGAAGGTGGTGACCAATGGTTGCAGGCCAACAAGGTCACGATAACACAGATAGCAGGTATATTTAAGCCGCTGACTCAAGTCGAAGAGAATGGGATTAACACATAATAGTTTTAACATTCTTTACTATAATTTTAAAGTTAGTGGCAAACAGGGTTGATGTCAGGGAGATATTTTTAGGCAAAGGGCCCTCTCTGTACCCCTCACATGATGTCAGTGACTAACTATTCTGCCTCCTCATGTGGCTGGCCCTTGAAATAAGGACTCATTTCTGAGCTTCAACTTCAGTGAAAGTGACAAGGTTAGAAGCTAAAGGTCATTCTGTGACCCAAAGGGAGGAAATACCACTCTGAAATTCCACATAAATAACTTACTTTATTGAAAAATAAAAAAGAAGCTAAAGGTCAAAGATATTCCTGAACTATAACCAGTGAGTTGATTGTTTTATTAAATCAATTACATTATTATTCGTAACTATTACATAATTACAGTGTAGCATATTTATCTGCTATGTAGTTATTCAATTCTAGAGAAAGAAAATACACAGCGTGCAACATTAAAATAATCCTTTTGACTTTAGATTTTACCCAACCACTCGGCTGAGGATAATTGCCCCATCTAGTTCTTGATATTAAGCTTCCAGGAACTTCACCATGCCCTAAAAACACAACTACCTCCTTCAGATCTACTAAACTTCATAATCTGCTGTTCTCCACTTGCACCGGAAATGTCTCTATCTTTAAATTTTTCAGTTATTAACTTAGCTGGTGAATTCCCCCATCTGGTGCTATGGTGTTATCAATATTTTAAGTCACTGTGGCATTGGCTAAGGAAGTGCTTAAATAGCTGGATTACCTAGGGGCAGCTGTGAGTCAGCCTGCCGGCTTGATTACTCCTGAACTAGCATACCCTCATCTCACCAGGATGGTGCCCCAGCACACATTTCAGACCCTGGTGCCATGGAAACGTTGGCAAAACTAAATGAGTTAGGCAGTTATACACAGTGAATTTGCTTGTGCGTAGCAAATGGACATAATTATAACACAGACACCTCCAGCAGAGCTAGGGGGTGCATCTGGAGGTTACAGAGGCCAGAAATAAGGAACTGAAATAGGGGTATTGGAGCAGTTGCTTTAGGTCTTGTACTTGGCATTGATAGCTATACCCTGAGCACTCAAAGCTCAGGGATACAGAATCCCTTCTGCTGCACAGGCCACTCCCCTGATGTCCTTAGCTGAACTTTAAACCACAGAAACATAAGAAAATGAACAGCGTGCCCTTATCTTTGCCAGTGTTTGGTGCGTGCAACATGGTGCAGTTATTCCAGAAGCTGGAAACACTGTCTAAATTTTATGGCCTTCAGTACCTTTAGCAACGTTAGTCATTTTACTTTTGTCCACCCAGGTGTGCAAGTCGGAAACAAGTTTTGGTTTGGATGGATAAGCCTGTAGACGGCTTTCAATCCATAAAATAATTTTCACTTACAGTTCATGGATGCATTTGAGATTCAAGAGCACTAGGAAGGAGACAGCCACATTTATGGAACAGCGTTAAGAGAAAAAGCAGGTTTTAAACTGCAGACAGGGTTTAAATAGTACGTGCAGCAGGCACAGTTGTATTACATTTACCGTAAGTGGTGTGATGTGGTGGATGGCGTTTAAGCCACCTGAGAATGACCTGCAATTAACACAGAGGCTGACTGGAGAAAAAAAGAACACAGCATTTGAACTTTAGAAAATAGAAATTCTAGGATCTGGGTCTTCCACACATTTCTTCACCATCTCCTCCATCTCCCCACCTACACCCTCCCATGTCACCACTATGTAACTTTAAAGATATAATTTCAGTGGTAGCAGAAAGAGCCTAAGCTGTCAGAAGGCAGTTTAGATTCTGAGCTTCTCTGACTCCACACTTGAAGTGGCTGGGTCTCATTCTCAGCATCAACCTTTCTCCTACCCCGACTCATAACAAATTTGATGAACAACCCCCTTTTGGGGGCACAAAGGCGATACATAGCAAGCCCCATCCGTCTGCTCTTGGCCGGAATGGCTCCGTGGTGCACCTGCTCACGTGCGAAAAGCTTACCTTCAGCCCAGGCTGAGTCCGCATCTGCTACAGCTGGGTCCCTGGACACCGAACGGGCTCCCGGGCAGGTGGCTGCTCATGCATCAGCTGAAGCGGAACGTGGAGTTCTGTGGGGAAGGCGAGGAAGCGGAGAAAACTTCAACAGAAATAGTCCGAGTGTTTCCAAGTTAAAAATAAAACTATATCACAAGGGCCAACGTGACCAGGCTCAGCTTACAACTTTTTCCCTTCCCTTGTTCAACATTCACTCTCTCCTGCAGTGGAATTTCACAGAGGAAACAGGAAAGGAAGTGGGATTTTAGGCCCATGGGTTTTCTTTCCGCGAAGGGAGGAGAAAACCCCTTTGGAGAAGGCTCGTCTCAAGGCCAGAGCAGTCTCTGAGTCCCAAGTGTGTCTCGGGCAGGTCCAGCTGTGCTTGGGAAGCCTGGTGGAGGAGCCAGCGCAGGCAGCTGCTCTAATTATAACTGTGCTCCTCACCTAAGCCCCGTTACCGGCTGAAGCAGCAACTTGGGCAAGCGACGCGCTGTTCTGCTGCAGTTTCTCGTTTCTTGTTATGACAAGTAAGCGGCTGTGTCTTCTGTTGGTCTTTGTGTTTCTCAGGCGGTTGGGAAAGGAAAAGAATTTGTAGTGTAGAAATCAGGCAGAGAGCGAGGCCAGTGTACAGAATTAGAGGTGGTAGGAAGCTTAGCTCTCATTTAGTTCAATTCCTCTCTTTACAAATGAAGAAAAGTAGTTCAGAGAAGGTAAAATGTTCATTACTGATCACATGGCTTGCCAGTGGAAGAACCAGTGGAAAGACATAGTTCTAATTCCAAATCTAGTGGTCTTACATTTCTTCTTCAAGTAAATTCATTCATCTATGATCTGAGAAAAGAAAATACATAATCCTGGCTTTGCTAATTTCTTGGTATATGGTTTTGATCAAGTTACTTGAGCATTCTCTTTCTGTTTTCCCAATTGTGAAACGGGAATGATACTACTTATATGTCCATGTACATCATACATAAAAAGCACATGAGTAAAGTCAGCTGTGTACAAAGTGCTCAAAAGTGCTAGGTGCCATTTGGATGTATGTGAGTGTATTTTTATTAAAACTAGCAAATGAAAAATGCAAAACTTTTCTAAACAGATCTTCTAATTGGAAACTTCACTGAAATTGTTCTATGGCTTTCTTGTGGATTGCTTAGAATTTTCTACATACAAAATCAAGCTGTTGGCAAACAGAGGCATTTTTGCTTCCTTTCCAATCTGGATGACTTTTATTTCCTTTGCATGCTTTCTTGTCTCGCCTAGAACTTCTAATACTATATTGAACAAGAGTGGTGAGCAGGGCCATCCCCAACTTGTCCTGACCTTTAGTTTTTCAGTCACAAATATGATGTTACCTGTGGGTTTTTAATCAAATTTAAGGAGTGTGTCTTTATCATGAAAGGGGATGGAATTTTTCTGTGCCTCGAGGTGACCACGTGATTTTTGTCCTTTGTTAATATTGTGTATGACATTGGTGGATTTTTGTATATAGAACCGAACTTTCATTCCTAGATAAATCTCACTTGGTCATGGTACAGAATTTCTTCCATGTGTTGCTGGGTTTTTGTTTCTTAGAATTTTGTTGAGGATTTTTGCATTAAAATTCAGAGGAGCTATTGGCCTGTGATTTTCGTGTGAGGTCTTGGCTTAGTTTTGGTATCAGGGTAATACTGGTCTTGTGGAATGAGTTAAGAAATATTCCCTCTGTTTTTTTTGGAGGAGTTGTTTAAGGATTTTCAGTTCTTCTTTAGCCACTTGGTAGAATTTAGCAGTGAAGCCAATCTGAGCCTGGGCTTTTCCTCACAATTTTTTTTTTTTTTTTTTTTTTTTTTTTTTTTTTTTTTTTTTTTTTTTTTTTTTTTTTTTTTTTTTTTTTTTTAACTGGGGATCAACCTGCGGCCCTTGCACTTGCAAAGCAGATGGTGGAACCACTGTGTCAAATCCTCGGCTGGGCTTTTCTTTATAGGAAGTTTTTGGATACTGGCTTGCTCTTCTTGTTTCTTACAGCCTCAGTCACCCCAATTTTATTTCTTGTTGAGTCAGAGTAGGAATTTTGTCTTCACCTAATCAATTTAATTTGTTGCATTCAGTTGTTCATAGTATTTCTTTATGATACTTTGCACTTCTATACAATTGGCTCATAAAATCCCCTTTCATTTCTGATTCTAGTAACTGAGTCACCTTGACCCTCTCCTCCTCTCTTAGTCTAGTTGAAAGGTCTCTCACATTGTTGATCTCTTTAAACAGCCAGTTTTTTGTTTCATTGATTTGTCTCTATTGCCTTTTTTATTCTCTTACATTTATTTCTGCTATAGGCTTTATTTCCTTTGGATTTAGTTTGCACTTCTTTTTCTAGTTTTTAAGGTACAAGTGTACAGATTTTAAGGTAGAACTATAAGGACAGTAAAATAATCTATTTGTCAGGGGTCTGGGCAGGGAGGCATGAGCAGGTGGGGCTAAGCATTCATTAAGCAGTGAAACTATTCCATAAGATTTCTGACAGCATTAATGGATACATGCTGTTTTACATTTGTCAACCCTTAGAATGTATCACATAAAGAATGCAACCTGGGGGCTGGGGATTTAGGTCAGTGGTTCTGCTGCCTGCTTCACAAGCTCAAGCACCCAAGTTCAATCCCTGGTACCAAAAAAAAAAGAATGCAACCTGACATAAACTATGGATTTGGAGTGACAATGATGTACCAATGGGCTCAGTGTGACAAAGGTGTCACTTTGGAGATAGCAACAGTGAGGAGGGCTGTACATACATAAGAATGGGGCTATGGCAACTCCACCTTCTACTCACCATGCTGCAAAACTACAACTGCTATAAAGAATAGTCAATTTTGGAAAATCAAAAGTGCAAAACTAAACAAACAAAAAAATCTCTCCTAGCATAAGGACCCAGTCCAGTTGTTTTCTGTTTCTTCATTTTCTTTTTTGTTTTGTTTTGTATTGCTTTGAGATAGAGTCTCATATCATTCAGGTTGGCCATGCACTCACTATGTAGGCCAACTGGACTTGAACTCACAGTGAGCCTCCTGCCTCAGCCTCCTGAATGCTGGGATCACAGGCATGTGTCACCACGCTCAGCTCTAGTCCCAGTTCTACAGCCTAACTTCACATTGTCCTTTTGTGATGACCGAGAATTTTAGGGGTAACAGAGACCTAAAAGCCTGCCACTGACTTCTCTCAAAATGGTGCTCCAGACCATTACTATATGTGTGTGACCAGATTATTCAAAGTACTGTTTCTTCCTCAATTGATTTTATTTTCTAAATAGGAGAGATGAGAATTTTTGTTTTGTTTTGTGATTAGTGAATGATGCCTGTGCATTATTGATTCATTCATGTTTGTTAAGATTTGTTTTGTGGCCTAGATGTCTTGAAATAATGTGTATTCTCTACCTGTTAGATACACACTTCCAGTAGGTTGTACTGATTAACTCTGTTGTTAAATCTTTTCCACTCATACTAACTTTGAATCTGTTACCTATCAATTTTTTCCCATTAAGTTTATTGGTACATTTACAGCAAACAATACAGTTATATTCATCATTGGGATCTTGTACCTTTACATGTTTTGTCTTTTTCTTCTTTTTCTCCCATACCCCTGCCCTCCCTTCATCCCTTTCACCTTTCTCTATTGTGTTACCTATCAATTATTGAGAACATGTTATTATTTTCCCATTTTTTCCAAAAATTTTACTAATTTGTGCTTCATATATTTGGGGCATATATTATTAACACTACAGAAGTTCAGAATTTTGTTTCAGCTTAATTGTTGCTTTTGCCATTGTCTAGTATACTTTATTTCTAATAAAGTGTTTTGCCTTAAAAGTTTGCTTTGACAAAGCCAAGCATGGTAGCACACACCTATAATCCCAGAACTTGGGAGGCTGAGGCAGGAGGATCCCTGCAAGTTCAAAGCCAGCCTGAACAACATAGCAAGACCCTATCTTAAAAAAAAAAAAAGATTTAATTTGACAAGTATTACTATAACTATGCCAGCTTCTTACCTGCTTATACATATAGTAATGCCTCGGTTCACAGATAATTCAGTTCACAAACAGAAGCATTCTGAAGAATTTTGCTTTCATTTGTGAATTCTGCAGAGGGTGATGAACACAACCATAGCCATCTTCCTCATATGAACCCAATCTTGACCATCTTCCCCAGAGTTGTGGTGCAATTAAGTTTGCGAATCAAAGTACCACTGTATTTGCTGGTACAAGTTTCCTTCTAAATGCTGGTTTAGCATCATTCAGTAGATTTTGGGGGTGCTGTTTTGGGTGTGTTTGTGTGCGTATCCAGCTCAGGTTTAATCATGACATTTTAAAATTGGACAAGTGTTTTTACATCTTCCCTCCCTCCCCATATTTAATCTCTTCAAATGACAGCAAATATCGCTGACATGGGGGAGGGGGGAGGCAAAGCTGGGTGGAGAAATGGTCTGGACCTGTCAATTGTGAGATCCCAGATGACTCTCAGGACCCATATGTAGAGCTTCTCATGAGTTCCCATGTGATATGGATGGCATGAAGGAGACCAGAGGCCATGATGAGCCACTATCCTGCCTTATGTGCCCCAGAATGCCATGCTATTGATTTGTTTCAAAGTGATGAAGAAAATGCTGAGATTCCACCTTACCCTGGAAAGAATGGCTGCTATCAAGAAATCAACCAATAACAAATATTGGCAGGGTTGTGGGCAGAAAGGAAGCCTTCTCCACTGTTGGTGGGAGAACAGACTGGCACAACCACTGTGGAAATCAATATGGAGATACCTCAAAGAATTAGGATTAGAAGTCCCATTTGATCCAGCCATCCCTCTACTGGATATCTTTCCAAAAGAATTAAAAGAACCACACCACAATGATACATGTTCACCCATGTTTATAGTGGCACAGTTTGTAATGGTTGAAACTTGGAAACAGCCCAATTGCCCATCATTTGGAGATTGGATAAAAAAGGTGTTTCTTCTATAAAATGGAGTACTACTCAGCCATAAAGAATAAGAAACTAGAGTCATTCATAGGAAAATGAATGCATATCGAGGCCATACTCTTAAGTGAAATAAATAGGACACACATATGTAAAAACCTAATAATTTCTCTGGTGTGAAAAGCAAAAAGTGTAAATAAGATCCAAAATGTATAACTAATAATATGAAATAGGAAGAAAAGGGCAAAATGTGGAGGGGAAATGGGAAGGGTAGGGGAAAGCAAATAAGGGACAAGAAAAAAATTATAAGAAAAAGAAATAATGAAAACAACATCTTTGTAAATAGGGGAGGGTGGAGGGGGTGAAGGGAGGGCAGGGAATGGGAAAAAATGAGAACCAAGATCTGTCATGTAAAGGTACAAGATCCCAATGATGAGTCTAACTGTACTGTATACTGAAAAGGTACCAAAAAACTCAATGGGGGGAGAACACTGGTCAGAGAAATGCAAAGTCTACCTAGTGGGGAGGCCCTGGAATGCCTGGCTGTCTCTGAGACTTCAAGCAGAAGAGCCTTGGCTCATCATACTGGGTATGCAGGTTTGCCCAGGAGCTGGACCAACAGCTGGTCCATCACAGATGCTGAGAGAGATACCCTGTCCTTCAATCTGGGACCTTGCAGGTGGAAGATACTGATACAGACAGCTGAAGGAACACCTAGAGGCCTCCCACTCATCAGGAAAACTGTATAGTTCTATAACTTGGGTTATGTCATAGCTGTCAGGAAATAGAACAGGGACGGAGGACTCCAGCCTCTCCAATGGAGGATCATGTATGTGGAAATCAATCTCGGGGCTTTCTGCAAAGATAAAGTCATCTGAACAGTCAGAAGGGCTTGTGGGCGGACATGGAAGGGAGCTATTGAAATTTAAAACCACAGGGGGGAAAAAGTCAGGGTTAGTCGACATTCTGAGTGAGGAGGGCGCATTCTTCTTGGCTTGAAGGACTTGGCTGGACTGCTGTAGTGACTGTTCTTGCTGCTTCTGCTGCTTTCTCAATTTGAATCGCCTGTTCCTGAACCAGACCTGGAGTGGGGGGAGAGGGACATTGTCAACACAGAAGGCATTTGAGGCTTCTTTGGGAGAAAACAGCTGGATTATAACCCTCATGTCCTCTTCAGGTCACCACAACACTGGATTCTGAGGCAGCAGAGTGGGGTCCAAGTGGAGTCAGCAGGAGAGACAATGAGGATCAGGTCTGGGGTCCCAGCAAAGTCAGAATAAAAGGGACTGTAGTGGGCTGGGGATTTAGCTCAGTGGTTCTGCCACCTGCCTTGCAAGCTCAAGGTCCTGAGTTTGATTCCCCCCTACCGGGGGGTGGGGTGGGCCTGTGGTAACACTACCCTACAGTCTAGCCAATGGGTGGCACAGATACCTGTACCCACAACACAGAGGTGCAGGGGGCCATAAAGGCCATTGTTCTGAGCTCCCGAAGATAGAGCAGAAGTGAACCACAGAAAGAAGGCCGCTCTGAGGCTTCTTGATAAAAATTGAAGCCCACTGGAAAAGTGAAAGAAATCTCTGCAAAAAAGGCCCACCAGACCACTATAGTTCGTAAGTTGGAGGGATCACCACCTCTCATCAGAACCTGGAAGGGCAGATGGAACCTGTAGGAGAACCTTGCAGAGTTCAACCCAGCAGGAGGGCAAGGAGCGCAACTTGTGTCTTGCAGCCAGAAATCAGCCTGAACCTCAGGGGACAGCTGCTAGCCTGCTGAGACTAATTGACTTAGATCTGTATACTCCTGCCCACACTGTCTATTGTGACAGTAGAGACATACCCTGAAGAAGGCCCTTTATTTGTATTTTCAAAGTTTATTTCCTCTTATTTTTAATTTTAATTAAATTTTTTTTCTTTCTTCTTTTTTCAAATTTACTATTCTTTTCTTTCTGTCTCACTCTCTTCTCTTCCACCACACTCTTCATCTCCCTTTTGTTCTGGTTTCTGTCCTAATTTGGATTTCTTTTTTCTTTACTTTTCATTTTCCTTCCCTTTTCATTTTCCTTCTTTCAATTGTCATTAGTTTTAAAGGAGAGTGAATATACTTGATAAATTCCCTATGGCTGTTAGAGAATTCTGTTTTTGTCTTTGATCTTCTATTCTGTCTTTTCCCCTTGTCTTCAACAGTTTCCTAGAGTTTGTGTGATCTTCCAATGTCCTCTGGCCTCATGTCTAACCTTTCCCTATCCTTTTCCCTTAACTATCCCTCCCTTCCCAAATCCTTCTAAGTTCCCATACCAAAGGGTAAAGTTGCTATATTGAAGAGTGAATTCACTATAAACATATTTTGGGCTGGTCCTCAATTTTTATTTAATTCACACAATTAAAGGTGATGTTAATAACTACCACAAATTCTCATTTTCTAAGTTGTTCTTGATGCTAGTGTGTTGCTGATTGTATCACTTGCACTAAAGTGTTGTGATTGATCTAATCAGTTGTCCTTCCTGGTATACTAAAAATGAGAAGGCCTAAGAGTCATTAGAGACTCAAAACCTAAAGAACAGCTATATCTGGAAGACACCTCTAAAAAGCAAACATTCCATGAGGGTTCTAAATACAAGTAACAAAGATACTTACAATAAGCAATACTGAAGTATCAATCTGGGAATTAAACCAAGGACTGTACCAACAACAAAAATAGAAATTAGAAGACACCTAAGCAAGGTGCAGACTCAGACTTCTAGCTCAGCAAAGGAAAATTCTGAGGGAAATGAGATAAAAAAATCTGATAATCAACAACCTGGACACCCTGAACTGATGATAGCACAACACCTTAGTCCAAGTTATACAGGAAGTAACAAACAGATGAATGAGGCTCTTGAAAAATTCAAAGCAGAAATGATTTCCCAGATAACTACAGAGATGGTGAGCAGAACGAAACACATGATTAGAAACTCTAGAACAGAAAGATAAAAACAAATAGATGAGCTCAGAACCATGATGGAAGTCATGCATGTCCAGCATAGGAAAGAAATGGAAACCATGAAACATATTCAAACAGATATCCAGGAGATTAAAAACTCTATTGGAAGCTGGGTGTTGTGGCACACACTGTAATCCCAGCACATGGGAGGCTGAGGTAGGAGGATCGCTGTGAGTTTGAGACCAGCCTGGGCTACATAGTGAGTTCCAGGTCAGCCTTAACTACGTAGTGAGACCCTATCTCAAAAAAACAAAAACAAAAACAAAACAAAAAATTCAAGATCCTGGAAACCCAACTAAAGAAAAACATACTACAAGCAGTTAAAGAAACAAATCACATACAAAGGAAAGCCCATGAAAATCATAGCAGATTTTTCAACACAAACGCTCAAGTCAAGGAGAGCCCAGACGGGGAGGTATTTCAAACTCTAAAAGAAAACAACCTCCAACCTAGACTGAAGTATCCTGCAAAACTACCTTTCAAAATTGATGAGGAAATAAGATACTTCCATGACAAAGAACACCTTAGAAACTTCATGAACACCAAATGTGCAGTGCAAACAATTCTAAACAATATCCTAGAAAAAGATAATAAAAGTCACAACTCCATGACACCCAACAGAGCAAATCCATTAGGCAAGACAAGAAATTAAAAGGAGAGCAGGAAAAATAAAAAAATAAAAGAGCCAACAACAGGAAAATAACATGACATGGACAAGTCAATACATATCAGTTATAACCATCAATGCTAATTCATCAATCCAAAAGAAATGGATTGGCAGAATAGATTAAGAAGCAAGATACAATATGCTGTATACAGGAAATGCATCTAGTTCAAAAAGAAATGCATAAACTGGGTGGGGTGGTGCATGCCTAAATCCCAGCACTTGGGAGGCTGAGGCAGGAGGATCACTGTGAGTTCAAGGACAGTCTGGCATGCATAGTGAGTTCCAGGTCAGTCTCAAATACATAGTGAGACCCTGTCTTTTAAAAAAAAAATAAACAAACAAACAAAAAACAGAAATGCATACATTGAAAGCAAAATGAAGGAAAACAGTTCTCCATGTGACAGGAACCCAGAAAAAAGTAGGGGTAGCTATCTTATTTACAAAGTAGATTTCAAACCAAAACTAATTAAGAGAGACAAAGAAGGTCACTACATCCTTGTAATGGGAACAGTCCAATGGGAAGAGATGACAATCATAAAGATATATGCACCAAATACTAATGCCCCCAACTATACAAAACAATTATTAATGGACATGAAAAATGAAATAAGCACTAACACAATTGTAGTGGGGGACCTCATACCCCCTGTCACAAATAGATCATCTAGACAAAAAAAAAAAAAAAAAAAATCAATAGTGAAATACTAGAACTAAACCAAGTTTTTTAACAAATGGAGTTAATGTCTACAGGGTTGTTGCGCCCCACAAAATCAGAATATGCATTCTTTCCAACTGCACATGGGTCATTCTCCAAAATAGACCATATGTTAGCTCATAGAACATGTTTAAGTAAATACAAAGGAAGTGAAGTTATCCCCTATATATTATCAGACCATAGTGCAGTCCAACTGGAGATCAATAGCATAAGAAACTGCAAGAACTCCACAAACACTTGGAAATTGAGTAACACCCTCCTGCACAACCAATGGGTCACAGAAAAAATTAGACAGTTTCTGCAATTAAATGGTAACCCAGTACAACATAGAGAAATGTATGGTACACAATGAAAGCAGTTCTATGAGGGAGATTCATAGCAATGAATGCCCTTACTAGGAAAATAGAGCAAGTACAAATAAACAACCTAATGATGAACCTAATGATCCTAGGAAAAGAAGAGCAAGATAAACCCAAGCTTGTACAATGGAGAAAATTATAAAGATCAAAGCAGATATCAGTGCAATGGGGACTAAGAGAATGATACCAAAAAAAAAAAAACAATGAATAGAAGACTTGTTTTTTTAAAATGAAATCTATAAGAACTTAGCCAACCTTACTGAGACACACACACACACACACACACACACATACACACACACACACACAGAGAGGGCTCAAATCCATGGAATTAAAAATGAAAAAGATGAAGTCACAACAGATCCAGCAGAAATCCATAGGATCATCAACACCTACTTTGACAACCTGTATTCTAATAAAATGGAAAACACAGAAGAAATAGACAGATTCCTAGATACATATGAATTAAAATTAAATGAAGATGATATAAAAATCATTCACTCTAATTATAATCAGTAAAAAACTGAAGAATGTAATTAAACATTTACCAACAAGGAAAATCCCAGGTTCTGGCTTCACTGCTCAGTTCTACAAGACATTTAGACCCATTGCCACTATTGTTTAAACTCTTCAAAGAAATTGAAAGGGTTAGCAATGCTTCCAAATTCATTCCTAGAAGTGTTACGTTGATTTCAAAAGCAAAGCCCCAATCAAAACAGAGAAATACAGGCCAATCTCCCTCATGAACATAGATGCAAAAATCCTACATAAGATAATGACAGAGTACAGAGGGTCATCAAGAAGATCATACACTCTGACCAAGTCAGATTTATCCCAGGGATGCAAGGATGGTTCAAGATATGTAAGTCAATAAATGTAATACACTATTTTAACAAAGTCAAGGACAAAAACCATATAATAATGTCAATCGATACAGACAAAATTCAACACCCATTCATGAAAAGAACCCTACAGAAAATTGGAATAGATGGTCTTTATCTGATAAAGGCTATCTATGTAAAACCAACAGCCAACATTGTATTGTATAGTCAAAAACTGAAAATCTTTGCACTAAAATCATGAATAAGACAAGGATATCCACTATCACCACTACTGTTCAATATAGTTCTGGAAACATTAGCCACAGCAATTAGATATGAGAAAGAAATAAAAGGAAAAGAAGTTAAACTATCATTATTTGTTGAGGATATAATACTCTACCCAGACTCAAAAAAACTCTGCCAAAAAGCTTCTAGCCTTAATTGACACTTTCAGCAGAGTAGCTGGATACAAGGTCAACAGTCAAAAATCAATAGCCTTCTTGTACACAAATAACAGACTTGCTGAGAGAGATACCAGGGA